GCAAATGCCCAGCATAACAAACACGCGGTTTCAGTGGGATTGCATCAGATATTACATGTGCATGACTGAGTCACAGAAATTAGCAGCAAGAAGACTGATTACGTCCCATCTAAAAATCAAGGGAAGGATTTTGCCATATATTTTCTAGTGTTCTCCCCACTATTATTTAAAAATAATCTGACCCAACCTATCTTTATCCACTCTGTATGTATGTACCCTCCACTGTGGTGTGGTGCCTCCTTGTAGGATATTATCCCTGGAGAAAGAAAATTACCAGAAACCATCCCATTTCATAACAGAAAATACAAAATAGTCACATTATTAAAATATGTCAATCAAAGCAGTCACATTGTTATATGACTAACTAATAATCTTACTTTTAAGCTATTTTGGTAAATGTCTCCACAAAAACAGCTGCTCTGAACTGTACTGTTCCAGGAAAGCATTTGTTTGGTCAGTAACCTCAGGACACCATGGGGGATGGAAGCACTTTTTCATCGACTGAGGCTGGATATAATCTCTCTTGGTCAGAAAATAGCTTACGCTTGTTAAAAAATTCCTTCTTTGTTTATTTAAAGTGAGGTTTTGATCAAGAACCTTGCATTGAAATGGAGAAGTTCTCTGGTCTATGCAAACAGCGGCATATGCAGCTTCTAGGATTAACTGTGCGAGCAGATAAAATTCAACCAGGTTTTCTCATTTCAAAAGAAGCACAGAAAAAAATAGAAAAGATCCAGACAGGGGAAAGAAAAATTATTAGAAGCAGCTGACGAGGGAAGTGCCCTGTCATTGGACATAGAGACCAGTCATATTGACTGGATATATATCACCTCATGAAGGGATGCAAAGATAAAATTTCTAGACATTAAATGACTGCTTCTTGGAGCAGCTTCTCATAGAATTCGCAAGGGGAGAGGCAATTCTTGATTTAGTGCTAAGTGGAACATAGGATCTGGTCCAAGAGGTGAATATAGGTGAACCATTCAGTAATAGTGGCCATAATGTAATTAAATTTATCATCCTTGTATGGGGGGAAATGCCAAAGAAACTCACTACAGTTAGCATTTAACTTCAAAAAGGGGAACTATACAAAAATGAGGAACCTAGATAAATGAAATTAAAAGGAACAGTCACAGGGATGAAATGCCTGCAAACTGCATGGAGACTATTTAAAAACACAATAATACAGGCTTGAACTAAATATATATCCCACATAAAAAAAACAGTAAGAGAACCAAAATAATGGCAAGTCAAAGGTAAAAGTATAATTAGGCAGGCCAACACAGAATTTGATGAGCAACTAGCTAAGGACACACAAACTAACAGCAACACTTTATTTAAGTGCATCACATGCAGGAAGCCTGCAACGCAGTCAGTGGGGCCATTGGATGATCAAGGTGCTAAGGGAGCACTCAAGGAAGACAAGGCTGTTGCAGAGAAGCTAAATGAATTTTTTGCATCAGTCTGCACTGCAGAGGATGTGGGGGAGATCCCCACACCCGACCCATTGTTTTTTAGGTCACAGATGTGAGGAAATGTCCCAGACTGAGATGTCAATAGAGGAGGTTTTGGTACTCACCCAAGAGTTCTGAAGGAACTCAGATACATAGGCACTGACTCCGTGGGTGCTCCTGGGCTGGAGCACCCACGGGAAAAAAATGGTGGATGCTGAGCACCCACTGGCAGCCCCCCTACCAGAACCTCACCCCAGCGCCGCCTGCCCGCTGACAGGCCCCACCAATCAGCGCCTCCCCCTCCCTCCCAGTGCCTACCGCCTGCCACGGATCAGCTGTTTCACGGCATCAGGAGGTGCTGGGAGGGGGAGGAGCGAGGGTGCAATGTGCTCGGGGGAGGGGGTGGAACTGGGCGGGGAAGGGGCATGGCGGGAAAAGGCGGGGTGGGAAGAAGCGTGGGGGCACCTTGGAGGAAGGGGTGGAGTGGGGGTGGGAGTGGGGCCTGGGCGGAGCACCCCCAGCAGATTAGAAACTCGGCGCCTATGCCCAGATATGAAATTTCAGAACTACTAACTGTGGTATGTAACCTATCCCTTAAATAGCCTCTGTACCAGATGACTAAAGGACAGCTAATGTAATGCCCTTTTTTAAAAAAAGCCTCCAGAGGTGATCCTGGCAAGTACAGGTTGATAAGCCTAACTTCAGTACCAGACAAATTGGTTGGAACTATAGTAAAGAACAGAATTGTCAGACATCTAGATGAACATGATATGTTGGGGAAGAGTCAACACAGCTTTTGTAAAAGGAAATCATGCCTCCCCAACCCATAGAATTGTTTGTGGGCATCAACAAGAATGTGGACAAGGGGGATCCAGTGGATATAGTGTACTTGGACTTTCAGAAAGCCTTTGACAAGGTCCCTCACCAAAGCCCTTAAGCAAAGTGAGCTGTCATGGGTAAGAGGCAAGGTTCTCTCATGGATCAGTAACTGGTTGAAAGATAGGAAACAAGGAGTAGAAATAAATGGTCAGTTTTCACAATGGAGAGAGGTAAATACCAAGGACCTATATTGGGACCAGTCCTGTCCAACACAGTCATAAATGATCTAGGAAAAGGGGTGAACAGTGAGGTGGCAAAATTGGCAAAACTCAAGATAGTTAAATCCAACGCTGACTGTGAAGAGTTACAAAAGGATCTCACAAAACTGGGTGACTGGGCAACAAAATGGCAGATGAAATTCAGTGTTGATAAGTGCAAAGTAATGCCCATTGGAAAACATAATTGCAACTATATGTACAAAATGATGGTTTCTAAATTAGCTGTTACTGCTCAAGAGAGAAACATTGGAGTCATCATGGATAATTCTCTGAAAACATCCAATGTGCAGCAGCAGTCAAAAAAGATAACAGGCCTCATTAGGAAAAGGACAGATAATAAGGCAGAAAATATCACAATGTCACTATATAAATCCATGGTATGCCCACATCTTGAATACTGCACACAGTGCTGATCACCCCAGCTATAAAAAAGGTACATTAGAATCGGAAAAGGTGCAGAGAGGGGCAAGAAAAATGATTGGAACAGCTTCCATGTGAGGAGAGATTTAAAGAGTTTGAGACTGTTCATCTTAGAAAAGAGACAACTAAAGGGGGATATGATAGAGGTCTATAAAATCATGACTGGTGTGGAGAAAGTAAATAAGGAAGTGTTATTTACCCCTTCACATAACAAAAGAATCAGCGGTCACCCCAATGAAATTAATAGGCAGCAGATTTAAAATAAAACACATGGAAGGACTTCACACAATGCACAGTCAAGCTGTGGAACTTGTTGCCAGGAGATGTTGTGAAGGCCAAAAGTATAACTGGATTAAAAAAAGAATTAGGTAAATTCATGGAGGATAGATCCATCGATGGCTACTACCCAAGATGGTCAGGGATGTAGCACCATGCTCTGAGTGTCCCTAGCCTGTGACTGCCAGAAGCTGGGACTGGATGACAGGAGATGGATCACTAGATAAGTTGCCCTGTTCTGCTCACTCCCTCTAAAGCATCTGGCACTGGCCACTGCTGGGAGACAGGACACTGGGCAAGATGGACCATTAGTCTGACCCATTATGGCCGTTCTTATATTCTTAAGTTCTTAAGAACAGGAGACACAGCCAAGGCATGTAAAACTGTGAATGGCAAAGATTGAAACGGTTACAAAAATGGATGTACAAGCCTCGCCTCTGACCTGGGTGGCTCCCGCACTTCGTATACACAAACCATGGAAGGCTGAGTGTATGGCAAATCTTTAACAAATCCACCTTTCTTGTCCTTCCTTTGTATAAAGTCAGGGAGGCAAGAGCTGTGTGCGGCTGGCAGAAGCTCCTGCACATGCAGAGAAAGCGAAGGATATACAGAAGGATGAAGCAGGCGATTAACAGTTTATTACAGTCTCTGTAAAAACTTGCGGGGTTTATGTTCTGAAGTGAAGAAGGGCTCTTCCATTACAGTCTCAAGAGCATCCATCAGATTTATGTTACTATTTAGAGGAGCTCTTTGGGGTTACAATATCGGGAGATGTCTGCATGATTTATGATGGAAAAAACCCCTTTTACATTCTAACATTGAGGGGCATAAGAGCCTTTGATACATCATTATTACTCATTATTTATGCAGGTCCGTTGGTACGCATGGTATTTTATCTACAGTATGAAATGGGCTGGATGCCTGTATCTCTGACTTCTTTACATCACTTGTATGTCAGGTATTTATCTCCAGGGTTTATTAAACTTACTGTTTCACTGTTCATTTGACTCTTGTTAATGCTAAAAAGTGTCCAGCTATTGCAACTCTGGAGACTGAGCATACAAGAGATTTCCATAGATGCAGATTGACTGTAACTGAACAGGCTCCCTGATCTCTACATTAATGTGCAAATCAACCAGCTCAGGGCAGCAAAGTCAGGCTCGCTCTGTGAAACACATGGCTACTCTTGCAAAGCGATTGCACTGGCCTCTATCCAATGTGACCAGCACAGCGCCAGATCTCTTGGTGAGGCTGCATGCACATCACAGTACATGACATGCAAACAGGTTCCACCATGTGAACCAAAAGGGCATCTTCGCTTTGCAAGTGGAAGGTGCTGAGCCGAGTTAGTCTTGTCTATACAGTGGAGTAACGTGCACTAGAGGTGTGATTTTTATTTAGTGTAGTGCTGTTACAGCTCTCCATTAAAGCGCACTATGGAACATTTAACACACACCACCAGGATCTACACAGATCAATTCCAGCACAACACATTAGCACGCTTTAGAAATCACACTCCTGTAGTAAGCATTACTCCACCGTGTAGACAAGCCCTTTGTCTCATTTGAGGGTCATGCCCCACTTACAGCGATTGCTGGAGCTGTGCTGAGTGGATCACTCTTTGCTTGCCTTATGGCTGAAACACTGTGCATCTCATATAGCAAAATACCTATGTTCATCCAGGAACATATCCCTGTCCTCTCAATGGGTGTTGGCATTCTGAGACGAACTGTGTTCTCTGCTCTGGTCCTACCTCATTGAAAACCACTTTGGGTGGCTGTCCTGGCACGGCTTTGAGAGGTCTTGTGGTACTTTTCCATGTTCTCCCAAAGAAATGACGATACGTGATGTCAAAGAGGGACAGGCGGAGCTGGTATTCAACCTCTGACAAGCCTTCTAGCACTCTCTGGAATATAAGAATAAACACCCTAAGTAGGAGATTTAAGAGTTTCTGATCGCAGCAGCACTGAAATGTGTCTGGGAGATTAAAAACTTTGGCCTTATAAAAATGGTTCTAAACAATAGTTAGTAGATAGCTCTGAGTGTAGTCAAAAAGGAGAGGAAATACCAGGACATTTTCTTCTGACAGTTACAGTCCAATAGCTCAAACTGTATAACCCATAAACTCAGTGACGTGCCCCCATGTTCAGACAAGCAGGTCTTCTCTATGCCAGGTAGTCTCACCCTGCAATATGCAGTGTACTGATACACCAAGGAATAGCTAGCTATGAACTCAGATGCTGAGGTCATCCTGCAACAGAAGGTGACTCTTTTCCCAGCAGTGAGAAATCCCAAGACTGGCAAGCAAACCTTTATGCATGTAAATGTTAAGCATCCACTTGGTTTAACATATGTGAGTAGTGGGCAAATTATGTAAAACATTTTCCAGAGACACTTGGCTGAAGCACTCATTTAAAAAAATTCAGTCACATTCATGTCTCTTCTGCATTTCCTTTCTGATTATTGTTATGATTTATTATTTGTAATGCGATAGCCTCTAGGAACCCAAATCAAGGATAAGGGTCTCATTGTGCTGAGCACAGTACAGACACATAATAATGACCGATCTTTCCCCAGATTACTTCCAATCCACATGGCAGGCAGACAAGTGCAGTGCGGATGAACAGGAGGCCGAGGTAAGAAAATTAACAGAGTTGAGCAGGAGTCACAGCTGATCGTTTGCTTAAGCAATGCCAGATGGGGGTGATCTGGGGGCATCACAGCAGAAATACGTTTTAAGCAGGGATTTTAAAAAGGAGAAGACGTGATCCAGTTTTACTGGCACAAAATTTTACAGAATACAAATCTCAAAACTGGATTTGTAAGTATTCATGTCAGAAGTGCTTGGATGCTCATCCAGTCATGGAATAGAAACAATACCATAAGGTTTTTCTGGTTAATTACAACTAACCAAGCAAGTTTATACAGCAAGTGAATCAAGTCATCACAGAAAACTTTGCTAACAATCCACAGAGTTAAATAAAATCATACAAAAAATTGTTGAATGATTTCAAACTCCCATCCCCAAAAAAACACAAATTATATTGTGGACCTATCACACTTAACCATTAACCATTTTATTTGGTATAGTTCCACAATTTTTTGGCTCACTAGTATTTTGTCAATTCTCCAAAACTCTTGTAGTCCTTTATATTCATACGAACATATGAACGGCCATACGGGTCAGACCAATGGTCAATCTAGCTCAGTGTCCCGTCTTCTGACAGTAGCCCATGCTAGATGCCTCAGAGGGAACGAAGCAATTTATCGAGCGCTCCATACCTTATCGCAGAATGAAGAACAGACCACAAGTGACATTCTCCCAAGGGGATGTTTTTGGGGAGAAGGAGGGAATATCTGCTTTTGAAATTGCTCCCTCCAAGACCTATTCTGTGAACTGGAGCCTCTTTCAGACTTGAATTTCGAAAGCAAATTTTACTTAAAGGGGCTTTTTCTGAGAACTCCTGAAGTCAGTATTTGCAGGGCCGGTGCAAGGAAGTTTTGCGCCCTAGGCGAAACTTCCACCTTGCGCCACCCTCCCACTCAGCTAACCCCGCCCTCCCGCAGCAACTAACCCACCCCCCCGCCCGGGGAGACCCCCCCCCCCCCCCCCCCCCCCCCCGCAGCAGCTAACCCCGCCTGGGGAGACTCCCCCCGCAGCAGCTAACCCCATCTGGGGAGCCCGCCCCAGCTCACCTCTGCTCCGCCTCCTCCACTGAGCACGCCGGCGCTGCTCTAATTCTCCTCCCCTCCCAGGCTTGCGGCGCCGATTGGAGGAGACTCAGAGTGGGGGCTGTGTGCTCAGCGGAGGAGGCACCCCCCCCGTTACTGCGGGCAGCCCTCCCCACGCCCCCCACGCCCCAGCTCACCTCCACTCCACCTCCTTGCCTGAGTGGACTTTTAGGCGCCCCCAACCACTAGGCACCCTAGGCGGCCGCCTAGTTTGCCTAAATGGTTGCACCGGCCCTGAGTATTTGATTATTTTACTGTCATTGATCATGAACAAATAACTGTAGCATGCCTCACAACTAAAGAGTAATGATACATTCTTTTCCTGTTACCAAGACAGTGGCTGTAGTGCTGAAAAGGCCTGCATTGGAGAATTTCTTTAAAACCAGAGGGATTTAAAAATATATTTGGAACTTGGTAATTGTGTAAATGCATAATAATTTAATAAAAACAGTGATGGAGTTAAACAAATGTTAAAACAATTAATGTGCCACAGTTTGGGAACAATTAATGTACCATTGGTGGTACGGTATGCAAGTTTGGCATCCCATCCATTCACTTCACAGCAATTTTTTAAGACATGTGGTACATGAACCAAGAGAACAGAGTTTGGAAACTGCTAGTCTACTGACATGTCTCCTAGAGATATGGACATTCTCATCAGAGTTCAAAATTAGCATGTGAAACTTGGCTGAGATTTTCAGCTCAAAACCAAGGGACACAACTCCCATTAATGCATCATGCATCCAAAGAAGTGGGTTCACCCACAAAAGCTTATGCTCCAATACATCTGTTAGTCTTAAAGGTGCCACAGGACTCTCTGTTGCTTTTTACAACTCCCATTAATGTTACTAGAAGTGTGGCTAGTTCCCTTAGTTGGTTTTGGAAATCTCACCCTGTGGCACCTTGGGCCTGGAATCAAAACAGCTGTTCTTCACAGTAACACAATGCGAAAATGCCACAGAATGCACCTGGAAAATTGTGCCAGTCTGCAGAAGACAGGGTGAAAGGTCCTTCTGCACACCTCATGGGTCCAGCCTAAACTTCAGTAGTCACTGTGAGATTTTAAAAATTAGAACTCTACTCAAAGCAGAGAATGTCAACAAGAGAAGGGTATGAGAGCTACATTCCCACAAGGCAGATGGAATATTTCTTTACCTGCTTAATTAAATTCCCCTCAACATACTTCAGGACACACTGAAATGCTATTGATTCCCTCGGGAGATGTCGTTTCCTTTGGGAGTGTGGAGGAACAGTCAGATTTTGCACAAAAATCTTTTGCCATTCACTCATCTTGCTGCTTAGAAGGTCACCTCTTCCTCTAGGCATCTGCTACGGCGAATGTTCATCTAGAAAATAAAACTCATTTCAGAAAAAAGCAAGCTCAGAACCTGTTATCTTAAAACTGGCATGAGAACACTCCAAAGCCTTTTAAAAAAGCACAGATTTACTATCCAAATTGTAACCTGATTTTAAAAAATGTTTTATTGGAATCTCCTCCACCCTCAAAGGCTCTGTGTTAATGCAACCCTCTTTCCCATCCAGATGCAGAGAGCTGGACATGACTCTCTGGAGCCAGGCAGCACAGCTGTGAGCATCTGCCAGAGGTCACTCAAGTGCGCTGGGTGATGCTCTATTCCTTATGGGTTGAGCACTGATGGTTAAGGAATTGAGCGACGAGCTCAGTACACACCCATGAGAGAATGCCGTGGGAGGGTACAGAACAGGGAGTTGTAGGAAAGGTTGCCCACTAGTCTAGCATCAGAACCGATAGTTGAGATTCTGTGCTGCACCTCCTGGAGGCACGTCACAGAAGGTGCAACACGGGGCTGGGAGAACAAGGGTTGTAAAATACCCTTGGGATTCTGGGTTCCTTCAGAGATCAAAACAGCCATTGGAGTAAATGAGCAGCCACAGGGATGCTTTACTTTATGGGATGATCCACAGTCCAGAGCAGCCCAGAATCTCCACAGCAGCATGTGCTACAGAGACTTCCCAGCATGCTCTCTGTGCTGGGGCTTGTGAGGGGGGCCAGCATGGGGCTACCATGTCAGTGCTGGAGGAAGACAGACTTTTCTAAGCCCTTTAGGACAGGCACTTTATCTTCCTTTGTGTTTGCATATCATGCAGCACAGTGTCAGCTGGGGTGGGCATTACCACAATATAAACAATAAACAACAAAACACTGCTTGAGATCAGAAAAACAACATGCTCACACGGTTTAAAGCAAAGGATTCTCCTGAATGTTCCACAGGCTAATAACATCCTCTGTTTTGAATGAAGAGTTGCTGAAGAGGGAAGACAAGCAATACCGTAAGAGATGATCCTACGGTTATGGCAAAGAACTGGAACTCCGGCAGCTGGAGTTCAATTCCCAGTTCTACCACAGACTCCCTGCATTGCCTTGGGAAAGTCACTCCATTTCTCTGAGCCTCGGTTTCCTATCTGGAAACAGGAATGCAAATATTTCCCTACATCACAGGGGGATTGTGAGCATAAATGATTAATGCCTGATGGGCTGAGAGGTTACAGGAATGGGGGCAATATAATTAGACAGATGAGGGATCACTTGGTGCAATCCCCTCGCATGAGACATGGCTCCTTTGGTGGTAGTGCACTGGAGCGATAAGCAAGTTAGGGTACGTCTGCACTTGGAGCTGGGGGTGTGATTCTGGAGGAGACATACTCGCGCTAGCGCTCATCAAGCTAGTGCGCTGAAAACAGACTGTACCTTTGGCAGCACAAGCTGCAGCACAAGCCCAGAGCATGTACCTAGGGTCTCTGACGGGCACGGCTTTGTGATGCTAGCCTGTCCCACGGATCGTACTGCTGCAGCTACATTCTACATTTCAGCACACTAGCGCAATGACAGCTAGCGCGAGTATGTCTCCTCCAGCTGGGAATCGCACCCCTCGCTCCAAGTGTAGACATACTCTAACTTAGCTATCAGAAGGCAACATCCAGTGTTGCTGCTGGATGGAAACTCACCTTATTACTAGAAATTCTGGGCAAAATTCTCTTCTGCTATCTGCACTCTGTTCTCCCTGCCTGTGACATCAATGGGAGAGATCTGCAGGTAGGAAGGATTGCTGTCCAAGGGCACGTCTACACTTACCCGGGATCGATACTGTGGCGATCAATGCACTGGGGGTCGATTTAGCAAGTCTAGTGAAGACCCGCTAAATTGACCGCAGATCACTCTCCCGTCGATGCAGCAGGGTGTAGACACGACAGTAAGTCGACCTAAGCTACATCAACTCCAGCTACATTGCGTAACTTAGGTCAACTTACCTCCATAGTGTAGACAAGGCCCAAGAGAATTCTTGCCGGCTATATGCACCTGAGAAGAGAATTGTGCTTTCAGGAAAATCTCCATTCCAAACTTCCCAACTTCCTCTTCTGGAAACTCTTTTGTGAAATGTTAAATTAACCAAAAATAGTCCCAGGAATCTACAAGAATTATTGTGAAGTTAGGCAGTTTTAAAGAAATTAAAAGAATGTACCTTAAAAGTGCTTTGAAAGTCATCCGATTATCATGTGTTCAGGTGGGAACGGCATTACTGGTATCCTAGTCTAGAAGATCAGACTGTCAAAAATAGTAATAAATACATTTTATTTGTAAATTGCTTACCCAGAACGAGGGACTCAGGGCCCTGTACAACATAAAATAAAATGTCCAAAGTGGCAGCTTCCTGCAGGACTAAACATAATTTTAAAAGAATAATTAAGAGACTTTTCTGGTTGACTTACTCTTCCTGGAGACTGAGCTTTCTAAGAGAATAATTAGAGTATGTCAACTTTAGATGTCAACGAGTCCTCACTGAGCCCACAGAAACTGGATTGCTAAGATTTTGACTGCTATCACAGACACGAGCAATCCATGTTTAACACCCTTGGCAGAAGTTGTGCTCTAGGTCCTTCACTCCACATAAACCTTGCTTCCATGAGCAATTTTATTCAAATTTCCCAAATCTCACCCATATAGCTTGAGTAACAATGGTGAAAGCACTAGGGTAGACAGGCTGCTAGTGACCACTGACATTTTAGTGATTGTGGTGCAGTATTGCCAACCTCAAGAATTCAACAATCAGGAGTTTTAAAAAATAATAAATGTGGGGTGGGGGTGAGGAAAGGGGATATTAAGCTTTCAGGGTTCACATTTTCAAGCTTTTCTCCACTACCATCAAGGCTAGAAACCTACAGTACTTTAAAAAAAAATTAAAGGTAAGATTTTCATGTAATCACATAATCTAGGATCTGGGGCTTTCAGAAAGACAGCAAATACTGTGAGGCTTGTGAAAAATTATGAGAGTTGGCAACCCTGGCTGTGTCATCTTCCTTTGAATATGGTTGGATGACACAGACGTTAACATGACAGCGTCTGGTCTATCCTTATCTTCCTACCACCACTGGAGTTGCACCAGAGCTAAACCAACAGTAGGAACACACAAGATGCTAATAGCATCTATCACAACTTCTGTAATGAGTGTTGGGAAAAGTTTGAGGCTGTCTACATTAACAGCTGAACTGTTTTCAGTCCCAGATAAGGAGGACTCATTGTTGACCTCCATGGCACCACTCTCATGTTTAAAGTGAAGCACAGCTTTGCTTACCAGTTCTGAATTCTGTGGGGTGCAACTCCCACAGTCTCATTTTAGTATTAAAAAGCTACCATGAACCAAACTGGGAAAGAAAAAGCCCCACCTACTGGTGGGAAAATCAGAGATGTGAGTCACAGGGGGTTCACTGAAGTATTGTCCTCGTTTTACCTCTCACTGCTTTGCACCATAGAATCATAGAAATGTAGACTGGTCATCCACCCCAGCCCACTGGGCTGAGACAGGACCAAGTATTCGTAGACCATCTCTGACAGATCTAACCTGTTCTTAAAAACATTCAGTGACGGGGATTCCACAACCTCCCTTGGAAGCCTGTTCCAGAGCTTAAATCCCCTGAGAGTTACAAAGTTTTTCCTAATATCTATCCCAAATCTCCCTTGCTGAAGATTAGACTGATTACTTCTTGTCCTACCTTCAGTGGACATGAAGAAACACTCCTCTTTATTAACAGTCCTTAATGTATTTGAAGACTATTTATCAGGTTCCCCCCCACTCAGTCTTTTTTCTCAAGACTAATCATGCCCATTTTTTTAACTTTTTCTGATAGGTCAGATTTTCTAAACCTTTTGATAATTTTTGTTGCTCTCCTTTGGACTCTCCCAAATTTGTCTACACTGTTCTTAAAGTGCAGTGCCCAGAACTGGACACACTACTTCAGTTGAGGCCTCACCAGTGCTGAGCAGAAAAGGTCAATTACCGCTCACATCTTACATACGACACACCCGGCAATGCACCACACAATTATATTAGCCTTTTTTGCAACGGCATCACATGGTTGGCTCATATTGAATTTGTGATCCAGTACAGCCCCCAGCTCCTTTTCTGTAGTAATACTGCCTAGCCAGTTATTCTCCATTTTGTGTTGGATTTTTCCTTCCTAAGTGAAATACTTTGCCCTTCTTTACTGACTTTCACCTGGTCGATTTCAGGCCAATTCTCCCCTGAAAGTCCAATTTAAACAAAGACAAAAACTCAACCCGAACATTTCACAGTTGCCACCCAAGTCCCTCATCTTACCTAGGTTCAGTTAGAAGTTTTCTGAATCTCAGAAGCTGGGCACACATTTTGGACCCACCCATCTCGCTAGCGCTGTAGGTAGGTGTACCTCAGCCATCACTCCCCAGGGTATCCGGACCGAGGGGCGCTGCGGTCTCTGGGGGATGTGAAACCAGCTGAGCTGGGTGTGTGTTTAGGAAAGTTTCCTCCAGTCCTGCCCTGCCCTGCCCGGGCTGCTGCTGGGCCCCGGTGTCTTTAGTCTGGTGATTTATTGAGTAACCCCCAAGGCTGCTGCTCTTCGGTTACACCGGCTTCAATCCGGAGTAGGGAGGAGGCGAATCGGGCCCACAGGGCAGAGGCCGCCGCCCCTAGGGCCTCCCCGTGCGGCCTGTGCTCGGGGGAAGCCGGGAGCCGCTAGTTAAAGCAGCCCCGGGAGGAGCCGGGGGAGCCGAGCAGGCACCGCACGGAAACAAGAGAAACGGACACATTTACCTGTCACAATGTATCCATCTGCCATCTTCCCGGACTGCACCAACTGCGCCGGCCGGCGGGGGGGACGCCCAATCCGCTGACTCCCATCCAAGCCGCCGTCCCCTCTCTGCCCCCGCCAAGCACAGGCCTAGGGACCGGGTCCCGCGGGGCAGGGCCGTGTCTCCCACCGCAGCCTCCGCCCCGTGCTGGAGCCCGGCCCGGGGCCCCCGAGTCCCGGATGGTTCGGCCCTGAGCTTGGCATCAGGTTACTAGGGCGATGGGACTCCGCGGGGGGGGGGCTCAATCTCTGCTCCTGCTGCAGCCGGGAGGGAGCCGGGCAGCGCTGGGTGAGCGGGGACGGGGCAGCCGGCAGGGGGCGGGCTCTGGGGCAGGGCTGGGGGGTCACAGTGCCTGGAGGGAGGATGGCTGGGTAATGGCTGAGCTCTGGGTACCCAGGCAGGGAGGATGCTG